AGAACTTTTTGTCAATGGAACGATGCAGTACATGCTCTCCTTTGCCTGGCTTCTTTCACTCAGCCTAATTGTTTCGAAATGTGTCCATGTTGTTTTCTATGTCAATTTAAGCATATGTTCATTTATTTATTTATTTAGTTAGTTAGTTTTTTTTTTGAGTTGGAGTCTCACTCTGTTGCCCAGACTGGAGTGCAGTGGCCACTCCCGGACACCGCAGCCTCGACCTGCTGGGCTCCGGCGATCCTTCCACCTCAGCCTTCCAGTAGCTTGAACTACAGGTGTGCACTACCACACCCGGCTAATTTTTTGATTTATTGTAGAGATGAGGTCTCGCCAGGTTTCCCAGGTGGGTCTCGAACCCGTGGGCTCAGGCAATCCACTCACCTCAGCCTCCCAAAGCATTGGATTACAGGCTGAGCCACCCAGCCCAGCCCTCTTGTATGCTTATACCTCTTCAACCATTGATGAACATTTGGATTTTCTGTATTTTAAAAACAAAAATTATGGCCGATCTTGGTGGCTCATCCTCTGTTCCCAGCAATTTGGGAGGCTGAGGCTACTGGATTGCCTGAGCCCACGGGTTTGAGACCAGCCTGGGCAACTTGATGAGACCTTGTCTCTACAATCAACCAAAAATTAGCTGGGCGAGATAGCATGTATCTGTAGTTCGGCTACTTGGAAGGCTGAGGCAGAAGGATCGCTGGAGCCCAGTGGGTCGACACTGGGGTGGCTGTGAGCGTGCCACTGCCCTCCAGCCTGGGCAATGGAGTGAGACTCCGACTCAAAAAAAAAATTATAAGATGCTAAGAACATTCTTGTTCAAGTTTTTCTATGGACATGTGCTTTCATTTCTCTTGGGTAAATAGGCGCAGAATTGCTGAGTTGTGAGGTACCTGGATGGTTACTTTTTTAAAGAAAATGACAAATTTTTTCCAAATGTGGATGTAACATTGTTATGGCTAATCTTAAATTTTAGCCATTTTGTTTCATTTTCTTTTATAGAGATGAGGTCTCACTAAGTTGCCCAGGCTGGTCTCAAACCCCTGGACTCAGGCAATCCTCTCACCTCCACCTC